ATATATTAATATATGGCAGATTAAAAATAAAGCATCTGTGTGAAAAGATAAACTGCTCTGTGCTGTTTGAACAGCTTGCCTAAACCTTTTGTGCTGGAAGAGATTCTGCTGGTGCACCGTTTGAGTATATTCTGATTCAAATGCATATACATGCATGGAAATATTTACTTTATTGGTGTGACATTGCTTTTTATGCTGTTCTGTGGGCAATATGTTTTTTCTGTGGGGACGGCAAAATAGGGTTGACAGAATTCTGTGTAGTTCAGCATTCTAGCCTATTTATACCCTGTAAAAATTGCATGCATCTTTATACTTCTTTTTGGAATACTGATGTTTTAAGAAAGAAAAAAAATCTCGGCATGAGAATTCCATCGGCACTGGAAATTCTTTGTGATGTATAGTACTAACCATCACACAGGGAAGACCATGTAAATGCTACTGGGGATCAAACGCTGAAATGTATATGAATAATATATTAGTAGATATACAGAACATATAATTAAAATTGAAATGGTAGAGCAAATTTATAAAATATTTAAGCAGAATGGTGGAGAACACAGAAGAGATCCGCATACATTCCAGTCAGTCATGATCCACTGTTGGCTCATAACGGAGCTCAGTTAACAGGAAAAAGATGTTTCTCACCATAAAAACCCTGAATCCTTATCTTCAGGCTGACTTTTTGTTGTGGGAAATGCTGATAACTCAAAAGCTAAGATGGCTGTTACTCAAAATTGGATTGTGGGTCACTGGAGTAAAGAAAAGAAAGGAAAAGAAAAGAAAAGAAAAGAAAAGGGGAGTTGACCTGTATAGAGGTTTTAGAAAGTTGACACAAATTGAAATAACATATTTTTCCTGTTCAGTTTAGAAGAAAAGTTGATAAGGGATCTATTTTATTTCTTCCCCCCTCCCGAAATAAACTGCCTGTTAATGTTTTTATTTTTATTTTTTTAATTATTTCCAGTCAAAGAATAAAGATAATTAAAATGCAATCTAGAGAAAGGAAAGTACATGACAAAAAGGGGAGGTCTAACAAGAAATATGAAATACTATGCAATCTTTTGATAATTAACCAGTATTTTCGATCATAAACCAAACTCTGACCCGGTATCTACTAATATCAGTGACAAATGACTCATTTTGGCAACTTTCTATAAGTCGTGCCCTTCTTTACAGATCATCCTGCAGGGTTAGTTAAAATGAAAGTTGTGAAACTGTAATGATGTTCGTCCATCGTGTTCGAAATGGATCTTGACATCTAACAGATTGTGGGCTGTCCATGATATATCCGCAGATGGCTGATCAGGCCTATATGGGCATGAAATGTTCTGCCACAGATCGGGCAGACATGTGTGGGCACCATTGTTGCAGCATTTGCAGCTCTGGCTTTGCGGAGTGCCCCCTTCTCTTGTGCTATGGTTGTTCTTCTGTCCTCAGATGTCTGGCAGCCTTGGTGGATCAGCGTGCGCCATGTTGAACGATCTCCTGGTTTCCCAGGAGATGGTGTCAATTTCAAGGGACTTGAAGGAGGCTTTCAGCGTGTCTTTGTAGTGCTTTTTATTGCTTATTAAACTGTAGCACTAGGTACTATAACAAAATGTGGAAGACCATCTTAATGGTTTTGTTCAAGTTTTATCTCATAAGTAGGAGCATGGTGGCTTGAGTGGTTGGGACGCTAGGCAGGAAGTTAGCAAGCCTGTTTTCAGGAGGGGTAGTGTGTCCATCCTGACTATACTTGAGCTCTTGGTGGCTTTCAGTACCATTGACAATGATCAGCTCTAAGGATTGGGAACAAGTAGCATAGTTTTATGTTGCTTCTCTTCCTTCCTAAGGGACTGATACTAGCTGGTATTGATCTGGAATGGGAGATCCCACTACTGTGTGGGATGCCTCAGGGTTCACTGTCTCTCCACTTCTGTTTAACGTCTACATGAAGCCACTGGGGGAGATCATTCATTGTCAGGAGGTGAGGTATCATCAGTAACTTGTAATACTCAGATGCCTCCACCTCTGGCAAACTAAGCAAAGCTGTTTATCTCTTTGGCTTCCTACACAAGAACATTTTCTCAGCCCTTTTCTAAGAAAATAAAGGAAAATACTTTGGATCTTCCTACCCCAAAGCCCTAGATTATGAAACTTAATTAACAATGTGCTGCTCATATAACTATACAACTGCACAGTTTTACATGAAGAAATGGTAAATATAAAGAAAAAAATAAAAGTAATGAAACTCAGTCTTTAGATATGAAAAGTGGAAATAAGAAAACAAGGGAAAGAAACAGTCACATACAAAGAATTAGGAATAAAATCAATATAATCAGTTCACTTGCTATATCCTTGAAGAAGATCTTGGATTCCATATATGTTCATTGCAGAGATGCTGGCTGAAGAAAAATCTTCTCACTGTTTTGATGTATGCAAGATTTTTTGGTTCCTCTGACTTCTTTCTTGCTTTGCTTTTTTTCTGAATACTTATCCCTAATCTCACAGAATGTGAATGAAAGCCAACTGCCTCTTTAGAGAGACTTTTTGCTTTGCCTGGTCAAGGATGCCACTTCATCTTCATCTTCTAGACTGTCATCTAGAGGGTCTAGGACAGATCGCCGTGGCCAACTTGCTGGAGCCATCTCATTGTGGCCAACTTGCCATCTTGTTGTGGCCATTTCCACATGGCCATCTCGCTGTGGCTAGTTCACCATAAGTCAACTCGCTGTGGTTAACTTGCCATAGGACAGTTCCTTGTAGGATAACTCAATGCGATGTTATCCGCCACTGGCTGTTCGACATTATTTCCATTTTTTGTCAATAGAAATAATGTTGAAAGAACAATTGGAGATAACATTTATTGCAATGAGTTATCCCACATGGAATTGTCCTGCAGAGGGTTGTCCCACAGAGAATTGGCTGCAGCAAGTTGGTTGTGGCAAAATGGCCGTGGCGAGATGAACACAATGACTTGGCTCTAGTGAGTTGCCCTGTTCCACATATAGACTAGCGCTTCTCAACCTTAAGAACCTTAAGATGGGTGGACTTTAATTCCCAGAATTCTCCAAGCAGCCATCCTGGGAGTTGAAGTGCATGCATCTTAAAAGTTCCCAAGATTAAGATATACTGATTTAGACACTACATCAGGAAGGTACTTTCCTAGTTATAAATGCAGAGTCTAGTTTTCACCAGTTGGGCTTCCTATAGATGAGATTACACAAAAGAAGTTACTTTGGAAAACCAAAATTAAATACACCTACCAGACATCTCAGCAGAGGACCAATTTATCAGACTTCTTCAGGGGCACCTTGGTGCCATGCCAGATTTTGGGATTGCCATATTTCCCAGCCAGGATGTCTTTTGCAACAGAGAAAAATATGAATGGTTCCTGGGTAATGTTTTAATTAGTTCCTAATGGTTTACTTGGACTTTGCTCTAGCAGCAGAACATTAAAATGATGCAAAATCCACCATTTACCTGGAAATTAATCTGGAAAAGCAATAATCATGGCACTACTTCTTTGATATATTTTCCACTTTTTTCTTCAATTTTGTTATTTTGGTAACGGGAAATTCCTCTTATTCATTTTTGTTTCACTTAAATATTATTCCACGGTGTGTCCTGCAACAGTTTTGGTGGTTATGAGTGACTCTTCTATGCCCTTAATATCTATCTATCTTTTTTTTTTTTGCTTTCTTCTCACTCCTGCCAAATGAAGACCAGGAAACGCCAGGCCTTCCTAGCAGAGACATGTGAAAACAATGTGAGAGCACTGGAGTCACTTCTGGACAGCTTTACTATGTCAAGCCAATGGACAGCAGGTTAGTTGAAGCTATGAAATGACAGATGCATTTGTCAATGTTCCAACATCACTAAATAGGGGAATTCTGCAGATGCCTCTTACATTCCCTCTTCTCAACATGCTTTGATTCGATGACATGCTAAGAGCAGCTCTCACAGCAGTTGAGTGGCCTCACTGGCTGGGATGGGGTGACTGAATGCAGGCCTGCTAGTGTCAGCCCAAACTTGATTTACAAGTGTTGGATTGTTTGCGATTGGCTGGGAAAGGTTGTGGCGAAAGCCAAATGAGAAAAACGTCCTGACAGCAGACTTACCAGGGGAACAGATGTTTTTGATTGAACTGAGCCAAATTCACAGGCAACCTTCAGCTACTTAAAGGTTGTGTGTTCAGAAAAAAAAGTCATGTAGGACACAGAGTTTATCACATGACTCCTAACAATGTTAGTTTAAAGTGATGCCAATGCAAATTCCACCCCAACCCAAGTGCAGAAGTTGCTTTTTCCCACCTCATTGTCTGCCCTGCATCATCAGTAATGTTAATTTCAAATGGAGGAAAGTGCTGAAAGAAATTTCAGAGATGAAAGGTCTTTTTCCCTCATTCTTTTGAGATTTGTTGTTGAGCCACTGTAATTCCATCTTTACACACATTTGTCTTCCTTTCCAGTTGGTCTGGTTCTGGTAGACAGAAGAGTAACCAAGCTCACAAAGGAGAGTTTAATTCTATTCTACTTTGGGTAAACACTTGCATTTTTCAGAGGCAGAACAATATGCATTAAAATAATCTCCTAAAATGGTATCAAGTAGTCTTAAGCATAGCCCCCAACCCTTTTCTTTTTTCTCCAAAAAAGTGGAAAAAAAGAACCATATTTACTGAATTCCCCCCCTCTTCTACTCTTTCTGCATAAATCTGTCCTATCACTTGTATTATTTTTCAAGACTAGGCTGCCAGTGGGCCACCCACATTAAGTCAGAGGGGAAGTAATTCTAGACAGAAAGGATCCTGATAATACATCTTTTTACAATGACAGAAGTGGCACTGGAAGACTTCTGGCCTTCAGTTCCATGGTGATACAGCCCCAGTTTGTATTAATCACGATTTGGAAGCAGGGACTTTCCCACTACATAGTTGAGATTTGTTTTCTTCTTTCACACAGCAGGGATTTACTTGCTGTTCCCTCTTGCATTTCAGCTTTCACTGCAAATGAGTATTGATGTAATTACCATGAATTTTTCATGGCCCTCCTCCAACCCAGCCAAAGGTTTGGAACCAAAATCCGTTCTGCATCTGGGGAGATAGGGAGACACGCAGGACAAAGCTTAGAGAAACCAGGGGAACTGAGACTATTGAAATTGGCTAGGAGCACATTTCCTTCTTTTCAGAAGCATTGAATAAATTTCTGAACAGAGCATTTTGGAACAACTTGGTTAGAGCAGAGGTTTTGGCAAAGGAGATTGAGCTGCCTGGAAAGAAAGAGCCAAAGCAAAGCAAGTTGAAAAGAATCATTCACATGAAACATATGCTTTTGTATATAGGTATTATTTTTAGTTTTAATGTTAGAGTTGTCTTGGGGGAAAAGATGGTGATGGGAAATATGCCATTATCTTATTCTAGGGGACAATTTTTTGTCTTCTTTCTATAGACTTAACATTTTTGTAATGTGCCACTACATGAAGCAGATTCATAGGTAGGTTATGTCTTGAGGCTGAACAGAATAGGTTCATATTTGGTTGTTTCCTTAAGTCTTTTGACCAGGGTCATGTCTTGCTTTTCAGCACATTGAAAAAAGAGAGATCAAATGAATGGTTATGGCCAATATAATAAAGAACAGTGACCCAGTTTTTGTGTAAAGCAGGGGTGGGGAACGATGGCCTGTTTATGACTTGTGGACTTCAACTCCCAGAATTCCAGAGTTGAAGTCCACAAGTCATAAAGTGGCCATCGTTCCCCAACTTTGGTGTAAAGTAAACCATACATTAAATAAATAATTTTTTGTGGGGCTGAGCATTTCAACACACAGTCTTCTAAGAGTAATATCAAGCACAGTGAGTATGGCAACTATTGTGGTTTGCTTTAGTTTTGCTTTAGGGCAGGAGTGGGCAACTGTGGTCAACTTTATGACCTGTGCACTTCAATTCGCAGAATTCCTGAGCCATCCATGAAGTCCACAGGTCATAAAGCGGCCATAGTTGCCCTCCCAGTAGCGTAGCACTGGGAAGAGGCGGAAACACAAGGCTGTGCCCATAGACAGATCTGTGGATTTGTTTTCTAAGGAGATCCTAGAATATAGAGTAAAGAAAAACTGCCTTACCAGAACATAGGAATCACAGAACTGGAATGGAATTCATACTTAAGCTGCCTTTGCTTATGAGTTTCAGAATTTTAAAATATTTAAACAAATAGAAAGAAACATGCAATGTGAGAAGCGAGCTCATAGCCATCAGTTTTACCTGTTCTGTGCTTCTGATGAAGTGAGCTGCAGCTCATGAAAACTTATGTCTTTTAATAAAATTGGTTAGGTGGATGAGGTGCTACCAGACCGCTTCTTAACAGATATATAGAACATGCAGTGCCTTTTTAACATTAGATATATTTTTTTCTTTTAACGTCTTACCTATTAAGTTTATTATTCCCTCTGAGGAGCCCAGGAAGCTTCTCATCCCAGATAAAACATTATTACATTTTAATATCAAGTGTCTTACTTCAGGTTATCCCTTCTATCCAATATATTTCTCATAAAACACTTGTGCTTGTTATATTTATTTAACGTTTCTTAGTACATTACTTTTTCTTGAGGCAGAGGTTAATCAAAAGACCAATTGTTGCTCTGATTTGCTGGCAACACGTACAGAAGGCTTCCCCACACTAACACAGATCCAAATTATAATCCATGCACAAACTCACACTCTACACCCCTGTCTATACATTTTTGGAAAGTATATATGTTACTAATGAGAGACTGCAGCCCAGAAATTTGTTTGAAAGTATTCCTATGGAGGAATACTGTATTGCTCTATTGTCATTGACAGATCATCATTCCGTGGTTTGTTTTAGGCTGATCATGGTCTTGGAAGCACAGTTTATCCTGGTTCTGTTGCTTTCATTGGGCTGAGTTCAGAAACTGGCATTGGGGGACGATTGTTCTGTATCAGTCATTTAACTAATGGCCTCCTTCAGGGTTCTACCTTATTGCTCAGTGTTGCTCAACATCTATATGAAACCATTCTCAAAAAGTATCTGGAATTTTTGAGAACTGGTGAAAATTGCTTAAATTTCATAATGGGTTAGATAAAAGAGAATAAGCCGAAATTACATCTAATCCATCTAAAGGGGTTGTTGATGAGTATAAAACTGAAATTCATCTGGCTTTGAGTTGTTTTGGACTTCCCCAAAGGTGCAGATTTGCAGTGCTTCTAGATCCTTAACTACAGTGATGCCTGTAACGAAGAACAGTTTGTATGTTGTCTGCGCAGATACCTGTGCCAGCTGTTTTTCTTCATGATCTGGTCAGTGATGGCCATGTTGTAATACAGGATACAAATCAAATAAATAATATCAAAACATTCTTGAGTTAAACACTTTCATTATTCTCTCATTTCAATAACTTTATTTCACTTTACTATTTGTTTTTCAACTTTCATGCCAAAGAGACTGAAGACATCCAGGGGAAAATGCATTAGAATATTCTTTGCCACAAGTTGTGAAGGCTTCTGACTTTCATGGTTTTTATCAAAAATAATTGTGGCTGTGGCAAGCAGAAATTTTGGTTGCAATAACAACAATGAATGGATGAGAAACAGGAGAGGTTCAGTGTAGATACAGAGCACATTTTGGATTGAAGCTCCTTGGAGTTGCTTTTTCTTCAAAATAAATTTAGTCAATTTAAAGAGTTTTATTTTTTAAGAAAAGAAATGTGAATAAAGTGATATGTCCTTGGCTTGAAGGGTCTTTAGTCTTTAGAATAAAGAATTGTGCTGGCTTCATGTTTATTTATTTATTTCTCAAGATTTTTTTAGATTGCTTTTTTATATGACAATGATTTTGAAATGTGAGATGCAGAACGAATGGTCTCCAAAACCTATATGTATGGAACAACTCTCTTAATAAAGGCCATACCTTTAATATCTCAAGAAATCACAGTGATCTCCAATCATCTTCAGAAAATTACTTGCATATTCTTTTAGATACATTTCATAAATACACATTTTTTATAGAAGCTAACAGTGCTCAGTTTTAAAATATTGTTATAGAATTGAAGATTTTGGAAACATCTGTTTAGCCAACATGCAGCGTAAGACCTTGCTGTATTTAAAAATCATTTTCACTTATGTCTTTTGAAAGGCAAAAGCACAGTGGCTAAAAGTATATGCAGATCATGCTGTATATCCAGATCATGCTGTTTCCTGTAACTTTAGAAAATTATTTTTAAAAAGAATAGCACTCATTCAACCTATACCTGTGTATGCTATGTACAACTTCATTTTGAGTGCCAGTTCTCAGGAAGAGCAAAGCAGAACAGAACAGAATAGCTGTCAGGGTTCCAAGTAATACCCCCATAGCAAACAAAACTCTGAGCAGGTAGATTCTTCAAAGAATAGTTTCATTGGATGTATCATATTGGCACTGTTTTGGTGAAAACCGATTCTGAAGGTTTCTGCGGTTTTTCACCTAATTAAAAGTAAAAGATTTTCCCCTTCCTTAAACAATCAGCCTTATGGTCCAATCAAGGTGCTGTCCGGCCGGCTAAAAATGTTGCTACTCCTCTCTTTGGACAGGTGCTAGAATGTCCTTGGTTCCCAGGGGAAAGTATTTTATTTTGGCTACAAAACCCCAGCTATCTGTTTTCTCCCCACCCATCCCTCAGCTCCAGTGTGGCAACACTGAAGCCTCAAAATGGCTTTTGTCAGGTCAGCTTCAGGGCTGCAATAGCTTTATTTGGCCAAGTGTGATTAGACACATAAGGAATTTGTCTCCTGTTCAGAAGCTCTCGGTGTACATGCAAAACACAGAGTAATAATGATAATGATATCAATAAGAAGTCAGTTATCGTAGTCTGAACTCTCAGACATGGGGTGCTAATGAAGTGGCCATTGTTTGAACTATTGATTTTACACTTGGTTACAGATGACATCTTTGCTGATGAACCATGATTAAACTCTTGATTAAGGTCTGCCATGACTTAATTAATGAATAGTGAAAAAACAGTTTTTGGGAAAAAGAGGAATTAGGAGATGTCACTATTGACAAATGTGACCATCAGCTAAATTAGGTTAGATAATCATTTGGGTTTTATTTTTCCTTTTTTTCTGTACAGGGTATGAGAAGAAATAATATTTTGAGGTTTCAAGTCCTTTAACTTGCACCCAGGCAAAATAGGAAGCCCTGCGGTCCTTTGGCATAGAAAGAAAGTTTCTTTCCAAAGTGCATGGCAGAACATGAATCATTGAAGGCACGAATGTTCTGCGCTTGAAAGCAAATGTTTGTTTCGTTTGGAGGATGATCTTTTTTGAACGACACGCAGACTTGCAATCATTAGATACCTTTAAATAAGATTGGAGGTAGGCCTCAAGATGTGTAGGAAAACAAGCCAGAGTTCATATTTTTTCATGTGGTGAACTGTAGCCATAGCGCAAAAATTCTTCTTCAGCTTTATTTGATATTAAAGAACAGATCCACCAGTGTGCCTTGGAGAAAACACAGGGGTTGTTCAACATTCTGTATTGTCACTGGAGCCCAACTGATTTAAATATCTCTGTTGCTCTTGGAGAGATTTTCCTGTCTCTCTGTTCAGCTCTAAGGGTTTTGTTTTGATTCTGCATTTTTCTTCAGGCATTCACAAGGACAAAGATAAACCTCCGAGCTTCACTCTTGTCCTTGAGACTTTGAGATGTACCTTGACAGATTACCAGAACAAGCAGGAAGAGGCATCTAATGAGGTAACAGTTGCACTGCTCAGCTCCACGTATATTGCCTTCAGCCCACAATGCTAGAGATTCCTTGCTTGTTACAGAGGTCAAAACACTGGGAATGTTGAGTTGACAGCTTTGCAGAAAAGAAGAAGAAATAATCTTTTGTCACAGCTCTTCCTTTAAGCTTGCCCTGTGGTCATGATTCACTTTAACTTAAGAACGTGTTTAGCTCTGTGTATGTATTTATGTGATTATTATTATTTTTTGCATTGAAATGTTTCAATGCCCAATTATTTTAAGCTAAACTCTGTGCGTGACTGATTTTTATTACCCATTTAAGATTTCACATACAGTGCAATATATAAAACTATGTTCACATAGTTTTACTACAAGTGTTTACACGCAGTACAAATTGATAGCAGGTGGAATAAATGTAGAGACTATAGCATCGGAGGGGTAAGTGTTAGAATTTGATTTCTTGTTGTTTTAATGTAAATGTAAGCATTTTAAGAAATATGTTTCTGGAGCATTTTTGTTAAGGTCCTCAAAGGAGAAATAGTTCAACCTGGTTTTAGCTTTGTTTTTAGTGTTTAAAATTAATAAAATAGATCCTTGTGCCCCCACAGTGTATATAAGCAGGTATTTTTTTGAATGATTTCAGTTTGGATTGTAATGTTGCATTCACTACTCAAGGATAAACCTAATTGAACTTTATAAGACTTCTTATATCTTCATCATATCTCTTATTACCTTCTCAGAATGTTCAGTTCACTTTAATGAGGTTATTGATGGATCTATAAAATATATCAGTTTTATGCCACTTGAGTACATGAAAAAGATTAGATTTTTAGCAAACTGTTACAATTTTGACTTAAATATACAAAAATACAAATTTCTTACTTTAGAATGTGTTTGATCCACTCTAACACTGAAAACAAGAGCTAAGTTTAAAATCTTTTGCAGTCAAATCTTTCCTGCTATCTGAGAGCCACCAGATAAGTCCCAAGGGGAGCAGTTACATGTCTTGGTATACTACCACCCTTACTTGTTTCTTTTGTTAACAACTCACATGCTTAGTGGCCTTTGGAGGTGAGAGGCCCTTAATTCCCACTGTGAATTGTTATTTGGGAGGATGAACATCACCTGATCTTCAACACAACTGAAAAGCCAACTCAGCAGGCTTTGGCTGAGGAACATGTTTTGTTGCGAACTGATGCCAGAGACAGCAGTGGGAAGAGACCAAAGGGGTGACTGATAAAAAAAAAGAAGAAAGAAAAATTCTGTCAGCAAGAAGAATGAACTGTCAGGAAAATAAATTGCAAGCAGCCCAGGGCCAACAGATGACCTGCCACAAGACTTCCCAGTAGGACTCAATGGGGCTGACCCTGAAGTTGTCATATGGCGCCAGAGACCACAGCATATCCTCCTGATAGGCAGATGGGGTAGCTCTGTGCCCTTTCTTTGCCTTCTTGATAGCAGTCCTGTCTTCTGGTGTTCTGTTTTCTTTGCACTGTAATTAATAGCGAAACTTTTTTTGTTTTGAGCAATTAAGCAATAAGATAACCAGAGCCATATTTTTTGGGTGGGGGAGTCTACCTTTATTGTGCTTGTAAACTTTGCACAGCCATTTTAAAAATGCTTAGCATGATAACTTTTTTCTACTGATTTGTTCAGTTAGAGCAACTTAGTAGTTTTACCACTTAAGCCAAGTCAGGCTGAGACTGTGAGGCTAAATGCATTTATCTATAGGCTCCTATTGAACTTAATGACTTGCAAGTAAATGTGTGTGCAACTGCTGCATTAAATTAATAAATTATTTGGGGGAATCCAATCCTTGCAAAATGGAAAATATACCCAACGCAACTAAAGATACTAATATAGAGCAGACAGGGACACCACAAGAAAGGGAACATCTTTAATTTAGTGTCAAACTGCCGATTGCTGTGATATCGGCCAGGAAAATCAGTCGGCATGAAATTTCAGTTTTACTCTGTAGGCAATTAAAATGAAATTTCATTTCTCTTGAATATGATGTATTGTTTACTACATTGTTTTTTTGCTAGCTAGAGAAAATGACAGCTCTTTCTGAGAAGATGGGAAAAGAACTTGAGGCTTCCCAATACCAGCTAAGATCTCAAAGTCAAGAACTTCAGGTATCTGTGTCTTTAACATGTCTGTTAACTTAAAGTTAAATAAATGTATATTCTTCTAATAAGTTTTGTCTTGATTGTAGTTATAACCTTGAAAAGTTCTAATCAAAGGACTTGGTGGTGCAGCAGGATACCTTCAGAATAAAGGATTTAAGTCTATTAACGTGTGGTGATGGTTTTGAAAAATGTCAGTGCAACAAGCCTAAAAGTAAAATAACACTTCCACAGAAGTCCCACAAGTGGGACTTGTTTAATTTAAATTTAAATTCTGTGGTTTGCTTTATTGTAATTAACCATTGGAGTAAACTGTCTTGTTTGTGCAACATCCAGACATGTATATTTGAAAAGAGTTATCAGATAAAGAAGGTTGTATTTTATTGCATGAAGCCTTTATTTTTCCTTTTTTATATACTATTTTAGGTAAAACATGACAGTCTCATTGATAACAAGAAGGAGTTAAATAATCTGCAAACTAAGTGTGCAGACAGAGAATCCTTAATAGCTACATTAAAAATGGAACTACAAAACGTATTGAATTGCTTGGAGAAAGAGAAAGCGTGTTGTGCAGAATATAAAAATGAAATTCAGACTCTCATGCAGGCTTATGAGCAAAATACAGAGGTACTACCAGAAACAAGATGTCTGTCAAAATATTATTTAATCTTTACCTTTCATATTTCTCTATATCAGATCATTTGTTTTGTAGATAAAGATCTAAATGATTGCTTTCCAATGTTTTTGTGAACTTTTATTTCTGGCATTATGTTTTGATTTTATTTTTTCCATTTAAAGGTAACCTGGCTTGTTTTTCCATTTTCCCGCCATTTTTAGCCTTTTGTTTCTGGTTTCTTTCTCATTATTGCCTTGAATATTTTAATCCATATGTAAACTACACAAAGTTTCTGGGAATCGGGTGGCATATAAATGTAATAAATTGTTATTGTTACTAGGATTTAAAAATATTAACTGCTCAACTTATCTGATTCTTTACATTTAAAGAATATCGTTGTTCTCTTGAGACAAAAATGTAAATATATGCCTAAGGAATTTTTGAAAGTTAATGTTTAGCTGAATGCAAATACACACTTTCCAAATATGTCTGCATTTGGAATAGATTAGCTGTTTAATCCCTTGGCACCAATCCCTATTAACTGTTTCAAATGGCAAGTCCAAGAGATGAGAAAAACCTGTATCATTTTACTCACCCATCAACAAAGTCAACTTAGCTTGCCTATTTTGGGGATAGCAACTGATTGTAGCATTGTGTATAGTAATTGTTTCATGAAGTGTTATTTTGAAACATGCTTTCCACCCTGATGTTTATCCTATTTTAAAAATACATCGTTTGCTTGTGTTTAGAGTTTCATTTTCTTTTGCGCTCACAGCTTTTCTGTGCTAGGTATATTAAATGTATTCTCTCTCTCTTTTTTTAAAAAAAATCGATTGTGCTGCATATTGAGCTCATTATTCTAACGAATCTAAGAAAGAATGCCAAGCGACTAAAAGGAAACATTATTTCCACCCTTCTTCCAGTCTGGGATTTAAATTGTGTCCATATGAATCAGCTGGAATTGTTCTGCTCATCAGATAGTGATTAAAGTAGAGGAAACTAGAAGCCTGACAATATTGTAAAGTCAGCATGTCTACAGTATTGTGGTTGGGTTTAACATGTGTGAATTGATTCTAGGCCTTTGGATTCCTTTTCCAGGCCAAATGGATGATTACTATGCTTGGTTTATCACAGCCCAAGCAAAAAGGACAGAATGGCGACATATTAAATTAACAAGGAGAAGTGAAAGACTGCATGGAAATGCTTTTGTTTCTATTTTCGCCATGTGTTGCTGGTGTTTTCTTCTGAGCGATTTAAACACTGAACTAGGGTTTGAAGAATCACAACTGTAATTCTGCTTTTAGTGCTTTTGTAAAGTTTGTTTGGAAATGGCTTGGGTTGAACTGTATCTAAAGCACACTAAAAGCAGTGGAAATCTTTTCATTGAAGATAGTGGGGCTTCTCCCTGTACAAACTCTTAGTATGATCTTTTTTTATTCATTAAAAAAATGCCCTCAGCATTTTATGAATAGATACAATAATAAAAGTACTACAAGGTCTGATTCTCTGTAATCTTTAGTAGGCTATGCATTCTAAACTTTACTAAACAAGGGGAAACCCCTCACTGTTTAAATAAAAGGTCTTCAGGTTGTGCCCTAGTGTAAATATAATAGGCTATTACCTATTTTGTGATTTTGATTGATTTCTTGAGCTTAGATCATCATTTTGGAACACTCATTTATTTTTATTTATATTAAACTTTTCGATGTAGAAATATTTGCCATTAACTCTTTCTTCCTCTCCCCTTCTTTTCCTCCCCCCTGAAAAATATGAATTGCATTTTGCAGGAGAAGTTAACTTTCCTCCATACTTTGTACCAGCACTTGGTAGCAGGCTGTGTTCTTATAAAGAAATCAGAAGGCATCTTGGATAAATTCTCTTGGTCGGAGCTTTGCACCGTCTTGCAAGAAAATGTTGATACACTGATCTTAGACCTCAACAAGGCTAATGAGAAGGTACTGTCCTCAGGCACCAGACACCTCTATTAAATTCAGTGACATTTGTCCACATCACAATATCGTTAAAAAGGACTGACATTCATCTTATTTCAAAAAGAATTTGGGTGTTAATAATTCAGTACCGTTAATTATGGCTTGTCTACAGCTCAGTTTGATGCCATTGCTGTGGGCATGTAAATGTGACTGAAGTCTGTATGAAATCTCTAAGCTCCAGCTTCTGTTCAGGACTTGCTAATACTATTAGCCAGTGTTAGCCACAGGGACCTAATTAAAAGAAAATAAATTAATCTTACTGATGAAGCTATTCAAAGGACTGAGTCATTTACACTAATAAACCAACTCTTTATCTCAGCATAAAACAGAAACAAAACGCACTTGTTCGAGGAACATCCTCTTTAAAATATTTGCTGTTGGGTTGGAGGAATTATTTGAGGAAGGAAAAAAATGTTTCCATGAAATGCCAGATGCTCTTTGATCCTTTTGGATTTGTAAACATATATCGAAATTGCAAATCTATACATCATAAGTTTAAAAAAGATAATGTTTAAGAAAGCTTAACAATGAAGTTCAAGGATATATTGACATGAGTTGACATTAGCTGAAGATTAGTAAAACAAGGTCAGACTTTTTTTTAAAAAAAGAAACATTTTTGCTATGTACAAATAGTTGTACCACCTATCTTTTAACATTTCCATTCCTCCGCATTCCTGACTTGTTCACTATTGCCATAGTTTTCTGTGATCTAGGAGAATTATAGAGTTTGGTCCTCACTTAGGTTAGGCTCCCCAAGGGTAGGAAGAAAAGCATTTCATATGAGCCGAGCCATTCATCTCACATTCAGGTTTAAGGCAAGCCATAGGAAATGAAGTATAACTCTAAGGAACTTTATTTTTAAAGTTTAAGAACCAGTTGATGCAAAATGATAACAGAGAGTGCAATCAGAAATTCAACTAATGTCTTAACCTAGAAGAAACCTGCTGATATGAGCTTCTGGGCAAATGTCCCAGATGGGGTAGAACGTGCTTCTAGGAGTTGTCAGGAGGGCTTAACTAGATTTGTATTATTGGCTAACTTTGAGCAAGTATAGTTTTAGTCTGCTTTTTAGTCCTGTTCGATGAATAAAGTTCAATTCAGTTTTTAACAATTGAAGAAATAAAATTGGAGGCATAAAGGAAAAATGAAATCAAGGGCTTATAAAAAGTGTGGCAAAATAATATGGTATTGGTTGCCTCCTTAAAAGGTCTATTCAAAAGGTCTTTGTTTCGAAGGCCTCTGTATTATCCAATATGAAAATTATTTTTGATACCCGTTAAAAATGGACATTAGCACATTTAATCATTAGCACCATTTTGTATGAAAAGTTTCTTCTGTTCCCACTACAAACTATTTGTATGGTTTAGCTGACTGCCAGTCTTTTCCCCAACTCTGTGTGGTTGCTGCAGCTACAGCATCTAATGTTATTATCTATAAAAAATGTGATATGTAAGACAAACAACAACCCAACCACAACCTTCATCATTTGGACTGCTTTCCTATACAAATGTATTACCCATGGAGTAACATCATATCCTTCGTTAGTTTCTGTTGTATATACAATACTATACAATAGCAGAGTTGGAAGGGACATTGGAGGTCTTCTAGTCCAATCCCCTGCCTAGGCAGGAACCCTATACTGTTTCAGACAAATGGCTATCCAACATCTTCTTAAAGACTTCCAGTGTTGGGGCATTCACAACTTCTGGAGGCAAGCTGTTCCACTGATTAATTGTTCTAACTGTCAGGAAATTTCTCCTCAGTTCTAAGTTGCTTCTCTCCTTGATTAGTTTTCCCCATTGCTTCTTGTTCTACCCTCAGGTGCCTTGCAGAATAGTTTGACTCCCACTTCTTTGTGGCAACCCCTGAGATATTGGAACACTGCTATCATGTTTCCCCTAGTCCTTCTTTTCATTAAACTAAATACCCAGTTCTTGCAACCGTTCTTCATATGTTTTAGTCTCCAGTCCTCTAATCATCTTTGTTGCTCTTCTCTGTACTCTTTCTAGAGTCTCCGCATCTTTTCTACATCGTGGTGACCAAACTGAATGCAGTATTCCAAGTGTGGCCTTACCAAGGGATTATAAAGTGGTATTAACACTTCACGTGATCTTGATTCTATCCTTCTGTTTATATAGCCTAGAACTGTGTTGGGTTTTTGGCAGCTGCTGCACGCTGCTGGCTCATATTTAAATGGTTGTCCACTAGGACTCCAAGATCCCTCTCACAGTTACTTGTTATTGAGCAAAGTACCACCTATATTGTACCTGTGCATTTCATTTTTGTTGCCTAAATATAGAGCCTTACTCTTTTCACCATTGAATTAGATAATGCCCAATGTTCAAGTTTGTCAAGATCCTTCTGTATCTTAAGCCTATCTTCTGGAGTGTTGGCTATTCCTGTCATCTTAGTGTAATCTGCAAATTTGATGAGTTCCCCATTTATTCCCTCATCCAAATCATTGATGAAGATGTTGAAGAGTACTGGGCCTAAAATAGCCTTGGAGTACTCCACTGCATACTTCTCTCCATGTAGATGCAGTTCCATTGAGGACTATATGTTGAGTGTGTTTGGTCAGCCAGTTACGAATCCATCTGGTAGTGATGCTGTCTAACCCATATTCTTCTACTTTATCTAGTAATAGGTTATGGTCTACCTTATCAAATGCTTTACTGAAGTCCAAGTAAACTATATTGACGGCATTCCTCTGGTCCACTAATTTTGTCACTTTGTCAAAGAATGCAATAAGATTAGTCTGGCATGATCTGTTTTTGACAAACCCATGTTGGCTTTTGGCTATTACTTTGTTTACTTCTAGGTGTTCACTAATTCATTGCTTGATTATCTTTTCCAGAATCTTTCCTGGTATTGAGGTCAGGCTGATAGGTCTATAGTTTTCTGGATCTATTTTTTCCCCTTTTTTGAAGATGGGAACCACATCAGTTCTTTTCCAGTCCTCTGGCAGTTGCCCGGTGCTCCAGGATCTCTGAAAGATATAGTTCAGTGATTCTGAGATCTCGCCTGCTAGTTTTTTCAGAACCCTGGGGTGTAATCCATCCAGTCCTGGTGATTGAACTGGTCTAGGATAGACAGGTGCTCACTTGCCATTTTCTTCCCTATTTCAACTTGTGTTCCTAATCTGATTTTTGTGGTGTTGTTTTTGATAGGTTGGACTGTTTTATCCCTTTGTGTAAAGACAGATGCAAAACATGAGTTAAATAGTTCTGCTTTCTCTCTGCTGCTTGTCACCTTCTTGCCACTTTCTCCCAGCAATGGACCAAATGTTTCCTTAACTTTTTTCTTGTTTTTAACATGTTGGAGGAAGCTTTTTTGTTATTTTTTTACTTTTGTGGCAAGCCTTTCTTCATTGTGAGACTTAGCTTTCCTCACTTCATCTTTACAGGCTTAGGCTATTTGCTGATATTCTGCCTTAGTTATGTCCCCCTCTTTCCACTTTTTATACTTATCTTTTTTTTGTCATTTAATTTGCCAGAGAGTTCTTTATGCAGCCATGCTGGGTTCTTTTGGGAGCTGTTATTTTTCTTCTTCATTGGTATTGTGCTAGACTGGGCTTTTGTAATCTCATTTTCCAAAATATCCCAAGCTTCTTGAGTTGTTTTCCCCTTGAGGATTCTCATCCATGGAATTCTTCCCAAGCTCTAAATTTATTGAAATTAGCTCTCTTAAAGTCCAAGACTCTTTGTTCTACTACTTGTGTTTGCATAATGTTGAATTCCAATATTGCATGGCCACTTGCCCCCAGGGTTCCTGTGGTTTCAACACCTTCTATCATTTCCTCTCTCTGTTAGTGAGAATTAAGTCCAATATGGCTGATCCCCTTGTTCCCTTCTTTACTTTTTGGGAAACAAAGTTGTCTGCTAGGTTTGTTAGGAACCTGTTGGATATAAAAGACTTACATATTGTGTTTCCCTGAAAATAAGACAGAGTCAGAGTCTTATTTTCTTATGACCCCCTGAAATAAGTGTGTGGCCTTATTTTTGGGGAGGTCTTATTATTTTTGAGGCGCAGGAAGTGGCGAGCATCGTCATCTCATGACTGCTGCTGTGTTGCAACATTTTTGGGGAGGGCTTATTTTTGGGGGAGGGCTTATTTTAGCACATGCGCTCAAAAGCCTGATTGGGCTTATTATCCAGGAAGCTCTTAGTTTGGGGGAAACAGGGTATTATTAATTTAGGAGGGGAGTGTTTCAGCATGAGGCCAACTCTTTGAAAACTGCAGTAGCAGATACAAACAACAAAACCAACAACTTGCCCAGAAATAGATCAAGAATTGTATACTGTATTGTGAAAATCCAATCACTGTGCTCTCTTTCAGATTCATGTTGCATTAAAAATTGGTGGACTGGTACAGAAATTTGGTCCTAAAACTTTCAGCATTAGAAAGGGTAGTCAAGTATAGATAGTAAAAGATCCAGTCACAGGTGACCAGCTGAGGAAATTTGACTGGAAGGTTTCCATTGCTGAGAAATGGTACTTAATTCCTTGTGGGTTATGGGATTAATTATAGCACCCTAAATGTATTATTAATGTCTGTTTTAAAATAGAACTTTGTTTGAGAAGATTGAAGGACTTTTTTTTAATGCCAATCACGTAGGTATCACACCTTGAATATGTTTGTAAGAATAAGTCAGATACAATGAAGGAGATTCAACAGACCCAAGAAGAGACTTTGAAGAAATTTGTAGAACAGATGAAAGCTCAAGAAAGCTGTTGGTTAAAGCAGAAGAAAGACTTGGAACAGCAATATTCTGGACTCCTTGGGGAAGTTCACACCAGAGCCCAGGTACAATATTTCTGTCAGGAAACTATTAACTTTTAAATTCATTCTTTAAATATTTAGGATATTATTTTGGCAGTTTTGTTCCAATGCATTTTAAAACTGCTTGGGAATTTTACTACGCTTTGAGAGGTGGGTGTTTTTTTGGATTTATGAGAAGGCACTCCAGAACCTACACAGTCTTGGAATCCTGCAGTTGTATTTCTCATTTAGTTACCATGCAAAAGTAACCTACAGAGTAAAAGCATTGCTTCTTTGTGTTATTACGACGCGTACCAGATGCTTGCCCCCCATGATAACTATTTTTCTATGGCTTCTACCAGTAGTTTCTGAAATTTACTTTAAGGTGAACTGTGTCTCAAGCATAAGCTTGTAGGCAAGTTGCTAACAGTAATAAAAAAGATATTGAAAGGCAAATCTTCCAGATTAGACAGGAAAATAAATTAAACTGGTATATCTCAGGGAAATGGATGCTGTCCCAGATAATTTCTACTTCACTTATTTTTCTGAACTTCACAAATGCTAAAGACCATTACCTTTTTTGTGGATATTGTAGAAGTCTACAACAAGTATTCCTTTGGAAAGGTCATTATTGTTTCAGTTAGTTTAAGACATTGAAAAAAATGGATTACTAAACCAGTTCATTATGTAAGACAACACACACCATGGATCAGAAAGGATAGATGTTTCTTTTTCTCTCCTAATATCACCATGGGCAAGTGCTCACTTCCAATGGACTCCCTTATGTTCTCCCCTTGGCCGTTTGGTCAGTGTCCAATAGTATTCAAATTCATTGTTTTGGTAACAGTTCTGGATTTGGCACCTCTTTAGTGGATGTTTGCATTCCGTTCTCATGGTTGTGTCCCAGATCTCTCAACCATTGTCTCTGATTGGCACTTCTATTTCCTGTCATTATCCTTCCCTGTGTTCTTTTGTCTCCCCCCTTTATGTCAAGATGCCATTAATGCGAAGTGAACCTGAAGTAGTATGATGGCAGATCTGACACATAGGCACAGAGTTACTTGGGGTTGCAAGTGGATGAACTAAATTATGGTGCGGATGCATGATTGGAAGTCTTGAAAGACCAGGTTGGGGATAGAGTGTAACGGAGAAAATCTATTTGGTTGCTAAGAGTCGACACCCACTTGCTGGCATATAATCAATAAATCAATAGTTGGGCGTAGAAGAGGGAATGAAAATGATAAAGATGAGTATTAAAAGAAGAACATTCCCATCTTTAATTTTGCCTTTCACCATTCTTCTCTCTATTCTCTCTCCAAATATTGGTTACCTGTATGAGAATAGATGAACTGTGTTTTCAAGTGCCATAATCCTCTGCATTGTTGCAACTGCAAACCCCTCCCATCCTTCTAGGGAACCCCTCCCCCCTTGTTATTATTTACATTATATTTATGATCTAAATCAATTCTACCTCTATTTTCTTTTAATTTCCCCTCTTATCAGTCTCTTCTTTTTAAAATATATTTTTGTTGAACATTTTAATTACAGTATTAAAAGCAAACGCAAACTAAATTCAAAATGAGGAGAGACAGAAAGCTAAAATTTATATATACAGTATATAAGTTATTTCTGATCTTCATCACAATAAGTATAAATAAACTTAATAGCTCTTTCCCCCCTATAAGGTTATAAACAAATATTTCTTCTTCCCATGCCCCATCCCTTATCTACAGTATATGCAGATCCATAAATCATCAATTTATCAGTCCTGATGTCATAAAAAAAAGTCTGAAAAGGTTTACCAGAGCTTTGTTGAAACATGCCTTACTTTAATCTTGGTCAAACAAACCAATTCTATATTTTTCACTTTTACTTTTAACAATCTTGAATTCATTTAGGTGTTGCATTGGAGTTAGTGTTTAATTTTTTGATTCTTTATCATTTTTGTGCCAAAAACTAACATAGCTATACCTCTAGAAATTCAACAGAGTGGCAGATTATTTGAGAGAGAGATGTTTAACAAATGCCCTTCTCTCTATTTAGCTAAGAATTTTCTAAATTACGTTAGCTTGTTTAGAATTCAATGCTAGAATCTTTTTTGGGGCTATGGGGTGGATGATATCAGGAAAAGGACAAAAGTAAAGCTGATATGTTAATACAAGTCAAATGATCATGGTGGGGCACCATGGCTACAAATTTTTGATACCTATCATTGGTTTTTAATCTAAAGGAATAAAATAATAATAATGGACTGTTATTTTCAGAAATGGTTTTCAAAAAGTGGTTTGAATCTATCCCAAGTACAGCATCTTCCTGCTATTCATGGAAGCAATTTAGCATTTTAAAGGCTTTCTTGTTAACCTGAAAGTGAATTTTGATTGCTTTAAGAATCACATTGAGTTGTCTCCTTAAGGCAACACCTCTTTTCTAAGGCTTACGTGGAAATCTAGGGATCCTGGTAGTAGAAATGTACTTTTTTCTGAATAATACTGATCTTGTGCTGATTCCAAAACCACTACTTCTGAATAATTGTTGAGTAATCACAGCCCCACTGATAACTAATATATCTAAAGCTACCCAAGGAATTATGGTGAGTATTTAATCTATACAAGGAATAATTTCATTATTAAGAAAACTAATATTTTTGCATCAAGAGACAGGGACAAAGATAGAAATGTATCTATAAACAACTGAAAGCAAATAAGTCCTTTAAGGAATGTAAATACCAAAACTTCACCAACCAGAAAGGAAAAAAAAGTCTATAAGAAGGAAAATTACCTCCTTTGAAGTATTGACTTGCTCTTTTAAGGAGCAGTGCTGATATCAGAACAGGTGAATTAGCTGAAGGCCGGACTATTCAATATTATCAAGAAGAGAGTTGTAAGAGGGAAAAATAAAATATAGTTGGAATAAAGAGAAGCCTTTTGAAGTTCAAATATCATTAATTCACAGTTTGTAGTCCTGCGCTCTAGCTATTGATATAGACCCAGCAAGAAACAGGATAAAAATTAGAGTTGTACATTCAAGGGGAGTGACTGATCTCTCCCTCCCCCTTTCCCTCCCTCTCTTCCTCCCTCCCTCTCTCTCTCTCTCTAGAATTCTTGAAGTGCATTCTAATGTAGTAAGCTATTTCTCAGGGTTTCTCCAGTCCAGAAAATATTTTAAGGCACACACTTTGCTGTTCTTTTCAAGGAATTGTGCTTTCAAGTTTCAATAGAAACATTTGGTATAGCATAGTGCTGAGACAAATGTCAGAAATTTATTTATTCATTCATTCATTCATTTGTTTATTTATCCATCCATCCATCCCTCCTATAACAAAGTTAGATTAGCAAGGAGAATACAGAGTAAGTACAAAGTAGTTGCTTGGATTTGACAATTGGTAGTCCATTCAGTTCATGCTTGCATGCTAACCAGAGTGCATCACATGGGGTGGACTAGTTGCACACTCAGAAAATTTCAACAATGTTCTACAGCATCATTCAGGGCTTCTCCCTCCACCAATGTTGCTTTGTGCTCAAGCATCACATTGGGGAAAGTCCAGGACCAGCTGGGTTCACACTACTATACAAAATGGCATTATTTTCCCCCTGAAGTGGTACCTATTTATCTACTTGCATGTAGCATGCTTTTGAACTGCTAAGTAGGCAGATGGTGATATGTGCTCACTCCATCATGCAACGCTAGGGCTTGAACTGCCAGAGTACAGACTTTCTCTAACTTCATTAAGCCATTAAGACACCAGGCTGTTCCTAAAAGGAAATAAAAGATTGATAAGTGCAATCAAATCAACCAGGTTACTTTTAGGTGTAATTTGTAGAACAAATCATGAATTATTGGCATCAAGTAAACAGGTTAAACCTAGACAATTAAATCATGGGAAATTTAAAACAATGGAAAGGGAGAAGAGTTATTGTAATACTACATGACATGGACATAGGAAAAAAAATCCCAAAATTCCAGAGATGAAAAGATCCACACGTCTTTCAGGATCAGTTATTGTGTTAGCTAGAGAAAAACTGGATGAAAGCCTTGGGCAACAAGATGGATGTAGCTGACTCAATGCAGAATTTCACTGCCAAGCAAGAAAAGACAAGAAAAAATATTCAATCATAAGGAGGAATATTGCGAGAAAAGAAAAATGAGACTCTTTTAGAGAAGATCAGATAAAATCACAGGCAAATTTACAGCTATGACAGTAATACTTAATAGTAAAAGAGACTTGATAGAAGAAATGAGATTAAAAGAAGATGGAAAGATTGTCCTAAATCCTTTACAGGTGGGATTATAGAGTGACAAAACATCTGTAGAGATAATATATTCAAGTACCAACCTGTCTAGAAAATAAGATGCTACAGGTAGTAGATCACCAGCCACAGATGACATTGGAATGAGACAACTCGCTGCCGCCATCTCACCACCCCCAGCTTGCCACTGCTAACTCCATACGGTGAACTCACCACAGGGACAACTCACCATGGGCAGCCGGAGGGAGAAACTTGATGGTGGCGAGTTGGAAGAAGTGAGTTGCCCTAGATCCAGTTGATATAGCCACTAAACTTTTAAAACTGCAGGGAAAGAGGTTTTGTTTTTTAAGTTTTAATAGCTGTACATCAGAAATATGGATGAGGGACATGCAGTTGAGACATTGGAAGACAGCATCTGCTATTTTGTTTTTGTCAGTGTCAGAACATTGTACTACAATCTCCGCCTCTTTGTTGTAGGGCATGCATAGGGCAGAGCTTGTGTAGCAATGCTGCAATATTGTTTTTTGTTTTTGTTTTGTTATCATTCTATCCTCTGTTGTCCTTAGCCTTGTGGAGATCTCTGTTGGAAAATAGAGGCATAGATACTCGAACTAAAAAATAAAGGATAATGTAAGAGGGTGTGCAAATTTGTGAATCCCTATTAATTTCTTATGCAAACAATATTTGGGTTGAGATCTTCACCAATGAATGTCACCATTTAAGCAGAGAGACATGCCAAATGAGGAAGCTGCTTTCGAAAAAAGAGAAGGCCAGGAAATCAGATAGCTAACATTAGAT